ATAGTATTTTACTGTCATCAAAAGTTTGCATACTATAAATTATATTTTTTCTGATTTTTAACCACAAAAATGGACATAGCTAAGTATTTTAAGGCAAATGGGTGTATTTTTAGTCATTTTTGATAAACTTTTATTTTTGGAAATTAGTTCAGGAACTTATTGGTATAGTATTTTACTGTGATCAAAAGTTGGCGTATCATAAAAATATATGTTTTTTTTCAGAATTTTAACCAGAAAAATGGACATAGCTGAGTATTTTAAGGCAAATTAGTGTAATTTTAGTCATTTTTGATAAACATTTATTTTCAGAGATTAGTTCAGAAACTTATTGGGATAGTATTTTACTGTGATCCAAAGCTGGCGTAGCAAAAAAGAATATTTTTTACAACAAAACCTGACCTGGTGTAAAATTAAACAATTTCAAAGTAAATATGTCTCTGTAAAACCAACAACTTGGAATATAGCATTATATGGCATCTGTGACGAAAATATGAAAATAGAAAATACTCCACACTCACCAAAAAAAATTTGCATCACAATCCAGCAGGTGGCAGGCCAACAGTCTTTCTCGGCACTATGAACAGCACGTTTCTGAAACACGTTGGTACCAGAAAAGCAACTAAATGTTAAAACCTAGGCTGTAACAAGATTCAACGACCGTGAATATATATTCTGCATCATTATAGAACTCTATGCAAAGTCGACTTTGACCCAATTTTTTTTTTATTTTCTGCAATGGGTTGATATAAATGTGCATATTGTACTGCATGGCAACTACTGTTAACTTCTGCTGAAGAGTTCTATCCAAGTCAGTGTCAGGTGGTTTGCAGAAAAATAGGATGTTTTCTGATGTGTGTTTCTTGTGTGAGACTCACGTGCATCGTGTCGTTTCCCATCAGATTCACTGCCATGGCCGACAGAAAAGCCGTTTTTACAACAATTCCAGAACGCTGACTTAGAATCTCCATCCACCGGTCTCAGCTCGAAAGTGGCGTCTTTTTTATTCCGCACACATTTTTCCTGCAAACATGGACGCTTTCACAGCATTAAAACAACTGCTCTACGATTACAGACGCTAAGGTGTGTGATTGCTTCGAGTCAGCAGTTTGATTGACACACCACTCAGCCTGTCAGCTACCGCCTTATCCACGAAGTGACCTATCATTGTTATGAACTGCACTGATAGACCGCCATAGACAGCCAGGTACATAGAAGAGTTTACTTTCAATTAAACAATGTGGAATGAAAACGTGGGACAAAATCTTCAATTTGCGTGACAGAGGCTAAAAATGCTGTGCACTTTTGGTGGTCACTCTAGACCTTACTGATGGAGAGGTTTCATTAGAGAAGAAGAGGAAAACAGAGTTCGCCAGAAATAAAGTTGCAAAAAGCAACCAAGCTTTAAATGTCAAGAACGGACATTCAGTTCAATATAAAACAATGCTGATGTACCAGCACTGAACTATTTCAAATTAAAGTTTAACAAATAAACAGACAACATTTTCCTGGTAGGATTTATTTACGGGTTGTAGCAGCTTTGAATACAAATGGATGACTTCACATGTTATTATGTAATAAAATAACATTTATGTCTCTATAAAGAAGTGCTTCAGAGGAAAACACACAGAATCATTTTTAAATAAATTAAAAAAAATCCAAAAATAAATATTGTTGGTTTTTTTAGGCATCCAAACATTTTAATTCTAAAATCGTATTATATATAATATATAAATATAGTATTATTATATAGACGTATGTATCACAGTTCTCGTAAGTTTGTCACAGCATTAATATGTATATACAGTACATGCAATATATCTGTATATATGTACACTATATATATACACATATATGTATATATGTATATATATATGTATAAATATATATATATACATATATGTACATATATGTATATATATGTATATATATGTATATATATATATATATATATGTACATATATGTACATATATGTATATATATGTATATATATGTATATATATATATATATATATGTACATATATGTACATATATGTATATATATGTATATATATGTATATATATATATATATATATGTACATATATGTACATATATGTATATATATGTATATATATGTATATATATATATATATATATGTACATATATGTACATATATGTATATATATGTACGAAACTTCACAATTTTAATTCAGGTTTTAGTCCGACATCTCAGCTGTTGTTGTCAGTCTCATTCAGCACATCACGGCAAGGATGAGACTGAAAATCCACAGTACAAAAAGAAATCACCTCAACTTTGGTCCGCAGCTGAATGTCTTTTTCCAGGATTTGAGTCTAAAAAAGAGAGAGAAATTTGTTTAAAAAAAACAAGGCTCATTTGAAACAAAGTGATTAACTGAAAAACACAACGTCCACTTTGAAAAGGTGCTCCCCCTGACGGCTGACCATGGTGATGTTAAGAGCTTTTGCTCACAAGAACTGTACACCTGACAAAACCTGATAATTGGCTACGTTTTGATTAAAAGACCATTTGAAATTTTTACAATTACTTTGTCATCAGGCTGCTCTGACAATATCCTTTTAATTCAGTTTCAGGTAAAACTTCACATTCAAAAAAATGTAATTTTTCCCTATGGGACAATTTACTTTTTCCTAGGGTTTCAATAGCAGCTCTACTAACTTTGTATGTTATTTTATATGAAAGTGGTTCTTAATTAAATTTAAATCTACTTTAAACCTGGCCTAGAAAAAAACAAGCATACTTACAGTTTTGACTTGACACCTTTGTGAACTTTCTCAGCTGGGCTCCTCTCCACTTCCTTCTGGCCCTCTGGGATGTGATCCCAGACATCCCTGTTGATCGGAAGGATGCTGTCAAGGCCCTGACTGGCGTCTGTGCATGTGATCCAGCGACACATTGGGCAGGAAATAGTGCAAATGACTCCCTTCTTGGTGGATATTCTATCCAGACATGCAAGGCAGAACGTGTGGTGGCAGTGCAGGAGCCAAGGTGTCCGCTCAGTGCGGGAGAACTCGTTGAAACAAACTGCACAGTCTAAATCCTCCTTGTCCAAAGTGTAAACACCATTTTTGGATGCCACTGAGGGAGAGGAGAATATTCCACGAACCGCCATGAGAGAGAAGCTGCAACAAGCAGAAATGCACATTAACAACAAAATACTACTTGGCTTTTTAAAAGAAAAGTACAGGTTTGTTGGTGTGCAGATTTAGCAAGGCACTGTTAGAGATGAGGACAAAGTCAGTCCAGGTCTGAGTTTACTTTACTTAAACATTCACACTTAGAAGAAAAACTAGTTAGAAAAACTGAAGCTAAAAGGTAAGTGCTGCCCTGTTTTGCTGAAATGTGAAGGGTAAGTGTGAAAGACCCGCAGATTCTAGAGACAATTTAAAAAAAATGTCTGGTCATCACAGATCTTTCGGGTCTTGCCTGAAACTACAACCTGACTTTTAACTTGCCTTGTCTCAAAGTCTCAACTACACCTGCAGATTAAAAAAAAACTATACATAAGCCACAGTTCCTGTGTCATCTACTAAAACTTGTAAAAAAATACTTACTTCTTAAAACTCAGAGTCGGCTCAGTAGTTGAAAAGGTTGCTGCTGGTGTGGTGACTGAAGACTTCTGTTTGGTTCACCTGCTTTTATACAGGTGCCAGCTTCTGCTACGACTTTTCCTGTTCTGTCAGAAGCTAATTATAGATTTCCAAGCTATTGATGGAATCAGTTCTGTGGAAACAAAATAAATTCAAACGGGCGGGGCGTTCAAACCACATGGAGGGCAGGTGAAGGAGTGCCTGAGACAGTCTTCAGAAATTGCCCTAAAGACAAGGTTTGTTTTTTTGGATTTAACTATGAAAATGTGTCACGCATGACTTACTGCAGGGAAATGATGGCATTTGCTTCAATAATCACACAATTGCAGCTGCAAATGTCGTCATTAATATTATGATCACTTTGTTTTTATTTTTTGTTTTTTTTTAAAGATGTTGCCAAGAAAATTACACAAAAGGAGAGAATGATCAGTTTTCAGACCAGTTATTCTGTTGAACCATCACTGACACAGTAGAACCGTCTTTACTTGATGACATGAAATGAACAACAGTAAATCATAAGTGATTATAAATGAGGCCTGGGTCGTAAGCTTGCCTGTGTTTGTCCGTTTAGTCAGCAGACACTAGAACTCTTTCTAACAACGATGACAAAGCCAGGCTGTCGCTATAAATAAAAACAACACAGAACACACCATAATGAAAGAATATAAAAATACACAGACACAAAGCATTGGTTTACTTCACGTGTCTTCTCATTTGGACCTATATTGAATGGAACTATACTGGTTGTTAAAGCCAATTTTATAAAGGGGAAAAAAACATGTACTGGTCTGCATTTGCACTGTCTGCAGACACTGGGTGACGCTGCTTGGCTCATGGGTAGACTAGAACCAACATGCCGTAAGAGGCGCGTGTTTACTCTCTCTGTCCGCTTGAACAGCCCAAACTTCTCATACATTTTGAACACAACTTTCCTAGAACAATATTTCCTGGTTGAATTTTAACGAAGGTTAAAGAAAGATAACTGGCAATAAAATAATTATGAAGTGCAATAGTAAACAGAACTAATAGTTCTTGTTTAGAATTAAAAGGAAGAGAACCGGTTGCTCAACTTCTCTAGAGGATGACGTTCTGTTGTTAATTATACCCTAGGGCAAATACGAGACCTGAACAAATCTCCGCAGAAGAATTTCGGTAGAAGTGAATAGCAAGTGCCACGTACAGCAGAGCAGATGTGTAATGAAACTTAAACAATGAAAAGTTTTCCATCTCTGCACCAAAAACTAACAGCTCTTTAAATATTACACATCACACTTTTATTCAACCCATGAGCCAAATTTGTTCCTTTTGCTGACAGAGTTTGGATCTGTTTCAATGAGTACTCCCCTTCCCCAGATCTATAGATACTCCACAGTCCACTACCACCTCCTTCTGCTTCTGGGTTGGCTTCCTAAGTCCATGGTGGTGGTAGTAGTAGTGGTGGTGGTGTTGGTTTTTTGGGGGTTGTTGTAAACAGAACAGAACATCCTGTAACCCCCCAACGCAGTGTGTTTGTAGAATGTGGAGTCCACTGAATGGCTCACTGCAGAAGGAGCAGCTGCTCTCACTCCTGAGCTATGCTCCTTAGCACATACTTAACTGTGTAGGCAAATGCGGCGAAGCCTACGATCACAAAGAGGTTGGCGAGAGCACCACCTAAAAGTCCATGGTTACGATTTGGCTGCTGCACACCGGGGGCAGGGTGTACACCGCCAAGAGGGATGGGGCCTCCGTTTAA